TGTTCCCTCACACTACACACTGTGGAGGCTTCATCTCCATTGACATGTTTTACTAAACAACTCTTGCCACTCCAGTCGTTCCTAACTCTTTAAAAATGGCTGAATACTTTCATTGTGTACTCCTGACTCGCTCGGTTACGGAGAGCCCAAGGATGAGATGGAATTGAGGAAAGGTCCCAACTTTCAAATAACAGTAAAACCTCTGAATGCTGGAAACTCTGTGAGGAGGAAACCTGCCAGAGAAGAAAAACAAAGCTATTTTTCTCCTAGTAGAGAGAGCAGTAATAAAGTGGTAAGAGCTGGATCCTGTGAAAGGCAGAAAACTTCCAAGACTCAGGAGAGCGAGGCAGTACCACAGAGGTCTGGCTCACTGGAACCGCACTGATTCTCTAGTCTTTGACTATCACGGAAACAGCAATTAGGAATAAATCAGATTTTCTTATTTTGCTCTATGACACTTCAAGGGAAGAGACACAACAAAGGTCTAAGTCTGTGAGACCAAAATTAGAGCACAGTGAATGAATGAACCAAGAGTTTAAAACCCACAAGGGCAGGGCAATTGGTGGCTTTGTTTATTAATGCATCCCCTTTGCCTGACGCACGCACTCTCAAATGTTTATTAACCAGAGGCAAGAGTGCACATCAATAGATCTCCAAGGGAATTTGGCAATACAGGTTAAAAGGCCTTAAAATTCTGTGTACCTTTGACCAGCATGACCACTTCTCTGAACCTATCCTAGGTAATTAATTATATACATGAGCAAAAACTTGGAATTCAAGGATGTTCTTTACGATCCCCAGTTTTTGTAGAAGCAAAGCCCCTGCTAAAACAACAGCCTAAACAGCCTAGTATGCATCTCTTTTCAGAGTGTGCCTGCTGTATACCACCTAGTAAGGCATGAAGACAAAGAGATTATTTTACAGGGGGATTCCAAGTGTTAAAAAAAATTAATCTCAGGGAGCTCTGGTGGCCTAGTGGCAAAAAGCTACACTGCAATCCCAGAGATATGTGGTTCAAATCCACCAGATGCTCTGCTGGAGAAGGAGGGACAATCTCCTCCTGTACCAGTCAGATCCAATTTGATGGTACACACAAACACAAAATAATAAAATTATTAAAAAAATTAATCTCATAACAGAAAATATTATCCCCCCCCCCCAGGGAGTATTGGAAATATAAGCGAGGGAGAGAATAGTAGTGTTTGGGGTGTGTATTTTTTTCTTACTTTTCTATTTAAAAGATTATTTTTAAAATCCTGTGTAAAACCACAAGCAACAAATGCTGGTGAGGTTGTGGAGAAACTGGAATCCTTATTCACTGTTGGTCAGAGTGTAACAAAGTGCAACCACTGTGGAAGGTGGTATGACGCTTTCTCATAAAGTTGCAAATAGAGATACCATTTGACCCAGCAATTCCACTACTGGGAATATACCCCAAAGAAACCACATCTGCCACCCAAGCAGACACATATACACACCCATGTTTATCACAGCTTTGTTCACAATAGCAAGGAGTTGGAAACAACCTAAGTTCCCATCAACAAATTAATGGATAGAGAAACTGTGGTTTATTCACACAATGGAATACTACGCTGCATTGAAAAACAAGGAACTCATGCAGTATTATTCAAAATGGGTGACCCTGGAGGACATTATGCTGAGTGAAATATCTCAGTCACAAAAGGATAAATACTGCATAGTGCCACTGTTGTAAAACAAGACTGGCATCAGGGTTGAGGGGAAACTGAGAAGGAGAGGATAAATAATGTTTACTGCATTGAAACAGATGAGGGAGAAAACTGTTTAAAAAGGGTATGTGATTAGGTATTATTGTAATGACAGGAGTCCAGAACGAAGGCTGTATAGTGGGGTAGACCTGGGGTGAGGGATTGTAAAACAATGAAAGAATTTTTCTTTTACTTTTCAAAGAGAAGAGTGTACTGGGAGGGAGGGTTGGGCAGGGAGAAAAGTGCAACAATGGATGAATGGAAATCCAAAGTCTTTGTAAATTTTCATTAAAATTAATAATAATTTTTTTAAATAACCTCAGATTATGGCAAAAAAGAAAAAAAAATCCTGTGTAAAACCAAAAATCAGTAAGAATATTTCCCGGTGTAGAAAGAATTTAATACTCAGCGTCATCGTATAAGGTAATGCTCTTGTCCTCACTTATTTCACAGGAATAAAGAAAAGGCGCAAAGGAGGCTACCTAGGAACACACTGAAGGGACCAACCAGGGTCAATATGATTCCATGACTCAGGAGCCCCATTGCTCCCTTCAAATCAATGTGGTCAGAAAAAGATTTATCAACTCTTCCAGCCTCCTTTTTAGTAAGTATTAGCAGTTTGTCCTCATGATAAACATCACCGATAGAGGAGTCAATGGCAAGGGTGTGGTATCTGATCTCCAATCTCCTCCAACTTTATGAATGGAGCCTGACCATTTTAGCAATATTGGCATCCACAGCTGACTCCTGAGCCACTGGTCAGGCACGCCTCCTTTCTCCTTACCAATTCTGACACCAATACTACCTCACTGATTTTTTGTTTTACATACTTCTTCTCAGGCCTTTCCAAAGTCCTGGGAAACAATGTCATTCTAGAGACTAAGGTGCGCATGATCCAGTCCATGGTCTTCACGGTTACTTGCTGTGCATCAGAGAGCCGGACAATGACTAAGGATGACAGAAGTAGTGATGCCTTTGAGTTTTGGTGCCAGAGAAGAATCTTGAATATAGCAAGGTTGTTATGTTGTTGTTACGTGCTGTTGAGTCGCCTGCGACTCATAGCAACCCTATGTACAACAGCCCTAAACTCCGCTCTGTCCTGTGCCAATCGCACTGTCTCTGACACTCCCATCCCA